CCCAGCCACTAAAAAGGGGCTGTTCCTTTTTCACAGTCCCCTCCAGATTTCCTAAATCCACCCAAAACACACTCAGCACATTCCTGGCACCCCATTTCCAAAAAGGGGCACATTCCCCTTCCACAACTCCCTCCAACTTCCCCAAACCCAGCCAAAAACCACTCAGCACGTTCCTGGCACTCCATTCACTAAAAAGGAGCTGTTCCTTTTTCACAGCCCCCTCCAGATTACCTAAACCTACCCAAAAACTACTCAGCACATTCCTGCCACCCAAATTTCCAAAAAGGGGCATATTCCCCTTCCACAGCTCCCTCCAAATTTTCCAAACCCACCCAAAAACCATTCAGCACATTCCTAATACCCCATCCAAAAAAGGGGCTATTCCTTTCTCACAGTCCCCTCCAACTTTCCCAAACCCACCCAAAAACCACTCAGCACGTTCCTGGCACCCCATCTATAAAAAGGAGCTGTCCCTTTTTCACAGCCCCCTCCAGATTACCTAAACCTACCCAAAAACCACTCAGCACATTCCTGCCACCCAAATTTCCAAAAAGGGGCACATTCCCTTTCCACAACTCCCTCCAAATTTCCCAAACCCACCACAAAAAAACACTTGGCATATTCCACAAAAGGGGGCTAACGCTTTCTCACAGCCCCCTCCAACCTTCCCAAACCCACCCAAAAAACCACTCAGCACATTCCTAACACCCCATCTACAAAAGGGGGCTGTCCCTTTCTCACAGCTCCCTCAAACTTCCCCGAAACCACCAAAAAAACACTCAGCACATCCCTACCACCTCATGTACGAAAAGGGGCTGTCCCTTTCTCACAGCCCCCTCCAGATTTCCCAAAAAACCACTCAGCACATCCCTAACACCCCATCTACAAAAGGGAGCTGTCCCTTTCTCACAGCCCACTCCAACCTCCCCAAAACCCACCCGAAAACCATTCCTGCTTCCATCTGGACATCCCCTTTCCCTCCAGCTTCCCCAAAACCCCACCGGGCACCTCCCAACACCCAGCCCCATGCCCCCCTCGCCCCGTGGGGCAGCCAGACCCCCCAGCTCCGGGGGCTGGGGCAGCAGCGGGGTTTACTTGCGCAGGATGATCTCGGAGGCGCCCTTGCTGTACATGCGGAAGCCGCCGCCGCCGCTCCTCAGCACGGTGCTCATGGACTTGCGCACGGAGTTGAAGGTGTAGACCTTGTAGAGCTTCTCCTCGGGCACCTCGTTGCGCACGGCCTGGTAGTCCTGCTTCAGGTCCAGCACGAAGCCCAGCAGGGCACACTCGGTCTTGTTGCCCACCTGGCGGGGCAGCCCCCCTTCCTTCTCCGGCGGCTGTAAAAAAAGGATGGAGAGGTGGTGCCAACCCCAGGCGTGGCAAGCACGTTTCTGGATCTCTCAGTATTTTTTCATACAGAAGAAAGAGAACAATTTCTATTTCTGCTTCTTGTTTTTCCCACGTGGAATGTGTTTGTGGAATTCTTTACCTGGGGTGATTGCTGGGTTGGATTCTGGGGAGGATTGTTTGAGCCTGGTGGCCAATCCAATCCAATCCAATCCAATCCAATCCAATCCAATCCAATCCAATCCAATCCACCTGGGGCTGGGCTCTCCAGAGAGAGTCAGGAGTTGTGAGTTAGATTTAGTAGATTTGTAGTTTTAGTATCTCCTTTAAATAGTATATTAATGTATTATAGTATAGTTGTAATAAAGAAATCATTCAGCCTTCTGAGCTGAGTCAGACATCAGTATTTCTGCCCACCAGTTCACCTGCATTTACAATAGGATGGAGTGATGATGGAACAATGGATGGAGTGATGGATGGAACGATGCCTTAACTTTCAGCTTTTATGTTTTCCAGGCTCTGTGCTGCATTAATAAATAACTCTGAGCTGCACGAGCTCTCCTCACAGCTCAGGCACACAGAACAATCCTTTTCCAGCCCCACAACCAAGGGCACCGCTGCAGCTTCAGCCCCCAAAAACAACAAACGACCCCAAACAACCGGGAATAGGGGAGAGCAACCTGGGAGGATAGGACTGCATCACCTGGAGCTGGAATTGGACAATTAACCCCAAAATGGAAATGGACCAAAACTTATAAAAGTGTCAAAACTCATGACTCTGAGTCGTGGAGCCATGGGCAGGTTCTTGTGCTGGCCAAGGTGTGTCCTTGAAGGTTCACCTTGGGCGGGTAGAACAGGGGACAAGGTGAGGGGACACAGGGGACACAGCAGCTCTGGGGTCACTGTCACATTTTAATAAATCCCTGCTTTACTCCATTAACTCTGTCCAGCCTGTGTTCTAGATTCCCACTCAAGGCACCGGGACACCCCTGAGCTTCGGTGCTGCAGCTCACCAGGATTTTGGAGGTGTAGGCAGAGTTGATGGCCACGCCGTGGACGATGAGGTCCAGGATTTTGGGCAGGATGGCCTCGGGGTCGGGGATCTGGCGGTAGTGGGTGTCCCCCACGTAGGCCTGCACCACGGTCATGCGGTTCATGGTCAGCGTGCCCGTCTTGTCCGAGCAGATGGCCGTGGCGTTGCCCATGGTCTCGCAGGCGTCCAGGTGCCTCACCAGGTTGTTGTCCTTCATCATTTTCTGCAAACACCCAGAAGGTCAGGGCTGAGCTCACCCCGGTCACCCCCATCCCTCCTCACCGCCCCAAACCTCACCTTGACGGAGTAGGCCAGCGAGATGGTGACGGCCAGCGGGAGCCCCTCGGGCACGGCCACCACCAGCACGGTGACGCCGATGATGAAGAACTTGACGAAGTACTGGATGTAGATGGGGGTGCACTCGGCCAGCCAGGGCCGGCCCTGCACCCCGAAGGTGTCGATGACGAAGTAGAGCACCAAGATGATGACGGTGATGGCCGACATGATCAGCCCTGGGGACGAGGACGAGGTGAGGGGACACAGGGGACAGGGACAGCCCTTCCTCACCAGCCCTGGGGACACTGGGGACAGGGTCAGCCCTTCCCCACCAGCCCTGGGGTCACTGGGAACAGGGACAGCCCTTCACCAGCTCTGGGGTCACTGGGGATGGGGACAAGAATGAGGTGAGGGGACACAGGACAGAGTCAGCCCTTCCCCACCAGCCCTGGGGACACTGGGAACAGGGACAGCCCTTCCCCACCAGCCCTGGGGACACTCAGGACAGGGTCAGCCCTTCCCCACCAGCCCTGGGGACACTGGGGAACAAGCAGAGCCCTTCCCCACCAGCCCTGGGGACACAGGGGACAGGGACAGCCCTGTCTCACCAGCTCTGGGGTCACTGTCACTGTCAGTGTCACTCACCTGCCTTCCCGATCTGCACCGCCAGGCGCGTGAGCTTCCCCTGCAGCACCGACTTCTCCTTCTTGGGCACCTTCACCTTCTTCTTCTCCTTCTCCTCGTTCTCCACCCCCTCCTGGCTCTTCAGGGGCTGGATCTCTAAGGCCACACCATCCTGAGTTTTAGCTACAGCCCGGGGGGCAAAACAAGACACCACGTGTGAACAGGAGAGACCCAGGCCAGCCTGGAGGACACCACTGAGGAGGATGGTGGTGGCAGAGAGAGAGAAAGAGAGAGAGAGAGAAAGAGAAATCCAGGACAAGAACCACTCCCGACCACACATGCGTCCGAGCACATGGAAGCTCCGTGTCCTGGGCCCTGCCACCTCTCTCCGGGGTGGTTTTCTGCCATCTACCCCCTGCCCATGGATAAGGGATCCTCAGAGGTGACTGTGGCACCCGTCACACCTCTGCAAGAGACCCTCTAGGCCAGATTTTGGGGTCTCTTCTGGCCTCTAAGCCTGCAGAGGACTGGGAGCGCTTTGGGATGAGCCCAGAGATGCCCCCAGGTCCCCAGCAGGAACCACTGGCCAGGGAAGTGACGGAGGGGGTGGGATGGAGGGGAGGGTTAGAGACTGGCATGGAGACTGAAGAGCAGGGAGCCAGGGAGCCTCCAATCCCAGCCTGGAGCCATCCATCCACCACGCCTCGGGGACCCGAGACAGCCGGGCTTCCTGCTCCTAAAACTGGGCTCATCCAGCTGGAAGGCTGCCCTGGGGGAAACCCACGCCTGGAAGCTTTGGAGCCCACCAGAGGCTCGTGCTGAGCTGCTGGAGCAGCAGAACATCCCGGGACCTGTCCCCTTCCTGAGGCCACCCCGGAGCAGCTCCACAGGGGAACCTCGACGGTGACAAGAGACCCGACACGGACACAACAAAGCACCCGGACACACCTGAGGGCAAGGAGGGCAACTCAAACTGCTGAGAGAGAGAGAGAAACAGAAACAGAGAGAGGGGTGCAGAGAGAGGTGCAGAAATGGGGCTTCCTCCACAGCCTGCAAAGAACAGGGTGAGAAACACTGGCGAGGAGACGCTCACGGAGTCGAGGCCATGGCAGGACAGGGTGCAAGTGTCCCGTGGGCCAGGCCCTGGCAGAGATCTCATCCCAGGAATGCCAGGAGGGCACCTCAACCACCAAACCCCTGCTGGGACTCACGGAGCTATCCCAAGAAAGGGATGCCGTGCCAGAAGTCCCGCTGGAAGAGCCTTGTCCTCCCTGAAAAATGGCTTTTCCCCATGTAGGAACAGCAGGAAGGTTCATCCCAGTGATGCCTGAGGATTTTAGCTTTTATCTTTTTCATACATTTATAAATTTTAGGTTTTTTTCCATAAGTTTTATGGACATTTATAAATTTTAGCTTTTATAAATGTATACATTTTATAGATATATAAATTTTAGCATTTATACATTTTAGCTTTTCTCTTTTCTGTACATTTGTAATCCTGCAGTTCTTTAGTGTGTAAATCTAAACTCTATACACAGTGGGAGCTGCTGCTTTCCCATTTTTGCAAAACAATTCCTCTCCAGGCCTGGCAATCAAGGACACCTCACTGCCTCAAGCCAGAGAGATGGGAACAAAAATGATTTGGGGAGGAGCAAACTTGGGTTAAACGACTTCATTACCTGAAGCTTTAATTGGAAGATTAACCCCCAATACGCAAACAACCCAAACTTATAAAAGCGTGAAACCCGTGGTCCATTTCTGGCTGGGTTTCATCTGCCTAAATGTACCTGGAGGCCCTTCAGTAAATAAAACTGCTTTTTATTCCCTTCATTCTGTTTCTGGGCAGTCCCACCAAGGCACCAGCAGCCCGTGCCGGGGTTTTGGGGACAGTTTTGGGGATGGTTTTGGGGACACCAGGACGCCGTGCCAGGGGACCCTTGCACCCTGTCCCGGAGAAACGAGGCGAGAGTCCCGCCGGAGCAGCAAAGAGCACAGACTGATGAGGAGAAGGAAGGAAGAGGAAGGAGGAATGCTCGGTAGTTAGTGTGGTGCTGGTTCAAAGGATGGAGAGGCTGGCGTTACCTTTGTTGCGGTTTTCGGGGGCTCCGCTTTTTTTACCTGTTCAAAGAGAGAAAGGGGGGAGGGCTGAGCACACGGAGCCGAATTCCCCATCCTGGGATGCTCCGAGGGGGTCACTCCTGTGGTCACCCTCGCCTTGGTCCGCACTGCTCGAGGCTCCAGAGCTCCCTGGGCACCCCATTGCCAAGGATTCTGATTTTTCCCACCTGCAAATCACCCCCAAAACCCGCAGAGTGCATCGAGGGTGCTGGAGGTGCCTCAGGTTTTCAGGAGGAGAAATCATGGAGCAGATTTTCAGGAGAAGAAACCCTCCTGCAGCTCCAGGTCCTTCCCTCCCGCTGCCATCAGATCCATGGAGCAGATTTTCAGAAGAAATCCTCCTGCAGCTCCAGGTCCTTCCCTCCCACTGCCATCAGATCCAGATGGGAAGCTCAGACTTGTCCCCCACCATGGGCAGCCCCAGACCCAGAGCAGGGAGGTGTGACCGCCCCAAAATCTGTCCAGGTGGCACACGGGGGTGCCCATGGCTGCTGCACCTCCACCAGCTTCAGGTGACAAGGGTTTGATGCCACCCCACAGCTCCCGTGGGGACAAACTGGTGGCACCCTGCGGCCTGCTCTGCTCCCACATCCATTGAGCTTGAAGGCTGGGAAAGCTCCAAGCACTGGGTGGATCCCAGGGCAGTGCCATTCCCAGGGCATCTTGTCCTGCCATCTCCACGGTGGCAGCTGAACCCAGGAGCTCCAAAGCTCCCAAATCCTGGCGATCCTGGAGCTGGGAGAGGCAGGATCCAGCTGGGAGCTGGGGAAGGTAGGATCCACACCCATAGGTGGGGAGGCAGGATCAGGTTGGAGCTGGGAAAGGCAGGATCCAACTGGGGAAGGCAGGATCCACACCCAGAGCTGGGAGCGGCAGGATCCAGCTGGGGAAGGCAGGATCAAGCTGGGAGCTGGGAAATGCAGGATCCAGCTGGGAAATGCAGGATCCAGCTGGGAGCTGGCAGCCAGCACAGCCCGGGAGCCTCTCCCACCTGGCATCCCCTCCTGGGAAGGGCTCCCTGGCGCGGGGATGCCGGAGCAGCTGGCAGTGCCAGCCTGCTGCTGTTGCCAGTGCCTGATCCCAGTGAGGCCAAACCTGCTGAGCAGGGCATCAGGGACACGGGGAGCTTCCCCAGCAGGGAATAAACAGCTGGATGTGAAAGCTGAGACAGGAGAGCACTCCAGCCCCAGCACAATGGGAACACCTCGGCCTGGCTGCTGTCCTCTGCTTCCTGCCATCCCCTCCTTTCCCCCTGGGAGCTCAGGAAATGCTCAGGAGATCCTCAGCCAAGTCCTGCAGGGTTTGGATGGGCTAAAAACACCCTGTGGGCACCCAGGACTCACCTTCCCACCACCACAGGGTGGGCAACGAGCACCACGGGGGAGTTGCCCACCAGGGGATCCTTGACTCCCCCACCTCACAGCTCCAGGATGGAGAAGGGTCCTAAAGAGGTCTGGGAGCACCTGCACCAGGTGGAGGGGACAGGGAGGGACCCCCAACCTCTCCCTGTTCCTGTCTGGGCCGGGGGAGCTGACCCCGATGTGGAAGGAGCCTGTGGATGCTTCCCAGGAAAGGGAAAAGGAGGGAAAAGGCAGGTTCAGGACATGTCCTTACCTTTCTTCACTTTCTTCTCCTCGTCCCCTTCTCCTGCTCCCAAGAGGGTGAAGATGATCCCTGTCTGGGAGTTGATGCCCACGGCAGTCACCACCATCCTGCCCGAGCCCTCCATCACGTGGGTACCTGGCAGGGCAGCAACGCCGTGGGCACACAGGTGAGACCCCCAGTTCCCATCCCACACAACCCCAGACTTGGAGCTTCTAACCGACTCCTAAAAGGAGGAATTCTTTAATGATTACTTGATGTAGCAGCCCCAGTCCAAATGAATACCTACCAAGACTATTTCCCTTCTATCACATGTGTAAGTGCATTTATTTAGTATCTAGTATAAATTCTAAAAACAAAGCATCTTTGACTCAGAAGAACCTTCCGCCCCCTGCCACGGACAGGGCCAACCTCCCCTATCCCAGATTGCTCCAAGTCCCACCCAGCCTGGCCTTGGACACCTCCCTGAGAGCAGGACACACCCTGATCCCAGCCCTGAAGCCTCACCTGACAGCAGCATGGGGTCTTTATCCATGGATTTCTTCACCTGGTCTGACTCCCCTGTCAGCGAGCTCTCATCTATCTTCAGGTCATTGCCCTGGATCAGGATCCCGTCCGCTGGCAGGAGATCACCTGGGAGAGGAGGAAAACCAGGGATCAGCCCAGCCTGCCTGCCCCAGCCCACAGGAGTGCTCCAAAAGGATCCAAAACTCCAGCTCCAGAGGGAGGAGAAGCAGCAGGTGGGGTTTGTAAGGGACAGGTGCAATCCAATGAAATCCAAGAGCTCCCAAATGCTCGCTGCAGAGTCCTGGGGAGGATTTTGCTCAGTGTTTCCCCATTTGGTTTTAATGAATCCTTCCCAGAGCTCCTGATGCATCCAAAATCCACCCTATCCACCTGCCAAGTATGGAATCGGGCCCTTGGGAAAACAAACACGGTGCTGGATCAATCTCCTTCCTGAATGGGAGGAATATTCCCCCTGGGAAACGAGGAGCAGGGCCTGATGGATCCCAAGGGCTGCAGCTCCTGGATAAGGAAACATCCACCAGGACCTCCAGGCCAAGGAAATATTCCCCAGCAACTCCTGGGTAAGGAAATATTCCCCAGCATCTCCTGAATAAGGAAATATCCAGCAACATCTCCTGGATGAGGAAATGTTCCCTAAAACCTCCTACATAAAGAAATGTTCCCCAAAACCTCCTGCATAAAGAAATGTTCCCCAAAATTTCCTGGATAAAGAAATGTTCCCCAAAACCTCCTGCATAAAGAAATGTTCCCCAAAATCTCCTGGATAAAGAAATGTTCCCCAAAACCTCCTGCATAAAGAAATGTTCCCCAAAACCTCCCGGATGAGGAAACACTCCCCAACATCTCCTGGCCAAGGAAGTATTCCTCAACATCTGGATAAGGAAATATCCTCAACAGGGACAAGGTTTTTGGGAAAATAAACTAATACAAACTGATAAAATACACTAATTCTGATCCAGAAGCTCCTTAAAGTTCCAGGGCAAAAAGGGAAGGTGAGTGTCCTCAAGGGAGAAGGGCTGGAGGAGTGTGGCATTCACATTCTCAGGACAGAGACACAATTCTGTCTCTCAGGAGAAGCACAGGGAGAAGAAGAGAAAACAATCTTTATCTCTGCTCCTTTGTTTTCCCCATGTGGAATTTGGTGTGGAGATTTTACCTGAACTCATTGTTGGATTGGATTCTGGTGAAGGTTGTTTGGGTTCAGTGACCAATCGGGAATATTTTGAAATATTTTGGGCAGGGTTATGGAGATCCTGGAATTATGGAATTCCAGACTGCTTTGGGTTGAAAGGATTTTAAATCCCATCCCATTCCATGGGCAGGGACAAACTTCCATGATCCCAAGGAGCTGCCAGGGATGGGGCAGACACAGCTGCTGTGCGTGGGACTCTCAGCAGAGTCATGAGTTTGTAGTTAATTAGTTAGGTAAGTAAGAATTAAGCATGTGGAATTGGATAGTATCTCTTTAAATAGTATATTAATGCAATATAGTTTTAATAAAGCTATCCTTCAACCTTCTGATGGGGAGCAGACATCATAATTTCTTCCCTGATTTCCGATGGAGAAGCGGGGAGGAGTGCAGCAGCCAGAGGCCCTGCGAGGCCTCCCTGGAGGTCACTTGCCCAAGATAAGAAGTGCCAAGTCATGATGAGTGGACCAAAGAAGCCCCTCTTCCTCCTTCAGACCCTCATGATCTCTCTGTAAGACCATAGGTGATATTCACCTCGAGCCTGGCCATCGGACAATTCCTGTACCCTACATAAGCCCTGTTTCTGCCCATTTTGGCAGAAGAGCTGACACTGAAATGCTTTGCAGGAGCTGCCAATAAAGACACAGCTGTGGAACCTCATACAGCCTTCTCCTCTCTCAGCCCTGCGTCTGCTGAGGCACTTAGTGAACAAAGAGCTGGAATCACTGAAGGGCTGAATTC